CATCTCTGGCTCATTAAAAAAAAAAAAAAAAAAAAAAAATTACGGCGTTTACAACTTTAGGATTTAAAATGTGTATGTTAAAAAATAAGCAAAAACTAAATCCTTGGTTATCTCATTTCATTGAAGTGAAGCAAAAACTACCCAACTAATACTACATTCTTCAATTATATAAACTTATAGGTCATATGCAGACCTATGTAGGTCATAAACTAATTTATTTTAAATTATCTGGACTCGTTTCCACAGACCTACAGCTCAGAGATAGAAAAAAAAATGTTTCCAGTTTCTTTATACTTCTCAGAGGCTTTAATTCCCTCAGAATTTTAACTGCAGTTTTTTTGTTGTTGTTTTTTTTAAAGACAGATACTGATATTCTGTTCTTTTGGCACAACACACTGCTTTCACTACAACAAATATAATCCCATATCTACTTGAAAAAAAAAAAAGATGTTACACTGGTAATAGTTACCATGCTAAAAGTTCTGAACTGAGCTAATAATCTAGTACTGGATCAGTCTGACCTGGTCACCTCTGGCTCTTGCTTCAGGGTGAATAGTATTGACTCAGCGTTGATGAGTATGGCCCAGCATGGCAGGCAGAAGAGTAAGAGGATGAGAATGCTTCTCTGGAGAATCTCCCCCACACGCTTAAGGTTCTTACTGCCAAATGTCTGAACATCAACAATAGATAATTAGTTCATATTATAGATTAACCTCATCCGTCCCTCCCGAACCTATTACAAAAGTGTCCCTCGCGGGTCAAAATGACCCGAAGGCCAAAAATGACACTAATTTTATTTTTGGTCCAGAAAGCTTATATTGGAACATTTTTCTATTTTTTTCCTCTAATTTGTTATGTAGGTTTTCTATAATTTTTTGGTGATTTTTATCATATTTACCTTTTATTCTGGATATTTTTAAGAAAACATAAGCAAATAAGCAGTTTTTGTACATCATTTCACCAAAACAAAAAACAAAGAAAGACAATTTTAGTCCTGTTTCATCAAAAACCAACAGATGGCCTGAGTGTCTCTAATGCCATCTGGTGGGGTAAAATTACATTTTATGGTTACAGTCACTAGAGGGGCCTGTAGAACACTATGGAGATTTTTAACAGAGCAAAACAAGTGAAACATGAGAAATGAGATGATCTTAAGGCTTCAATTTGGTTGTTTATTGATTAAAATATATATTGAAACATTACAAAATCCATATTTTGTAAATATATATATATATATAACTGAATTCTAACCTAAACATATGTATATTCATACAATTTCATAAATATGAAATAAATATATAATAT